AATTGCCTGAACCCAGGAAGCGGAGGTTGCGGTGAGCCGAGATCGCGCCATTGCACTCCAGCCTGGGCAACAAGAGCGAAACTCTGTCTCAAAAACAAACAAACAAACAAACAAACAAACAAAAAAATATTATGACAAATCAAAAGCAACATCCTTTTTTGTTTTTTTTTTTTCTTTTGAGATGGAGTCTTGCTCTGTCACTGAGGCTGGAGTGAGTGGCGCGATCTCGGCTCACTGCACCCTCCACCTCTCTGGTTCAAGCAATTCCCCTGCCTCGGTCTCCAAAGCAGCTGAGATTATAGGCTCATACCACCACACCCAGCTACTTTTTTTGTATTTTTAGTAGATATGGGGTTTTACCATATTGGCCAGACTGGTCTCGAACTCCTGACCTTAGGCAATCTGCCCGCTTTGGCCTCCCAAAGTACTGGGATTATAGGTGTGAGCTACTGTGCCCACCCATTTTTTTTTTTTTTTTTTTTTTTTTTTGAGACAGTCTCACTTTGTCACTCAGGCTGGAGTGTAGTGGCATGATCACAGCTCACTGCAGTCTTGACCTCCCAGGCTTAAGGGATTCTCCCTCCTTAATCCCCCAAGTAGCTGAGACTACAAGTACCCATCACCATGCCCAGCTAATGTTTGTATTTTTTGGAAAGATGAGGTTTCGTCATGTTGCCCAGGTTGGTCTCAAACTCTTGGGCCCAAGTAATACCCCCACCTCAGACTCCAAAAGTGCTGGAATTATAGCTGTAGGCCACTGTCCCCGGCCCAAACATACGTCGTTTTTTTTTTTGTTTTGTTTTGTTTTTGAGAAAAAGTCTCACTCTGTTGCCCAGGCTGGAGCACAGTGGCGAGATCTTCAGTCACTGTAACCTCCCCGTCCCGGGTTTAAGTGATCCTCCTGCCTCAGCCTCCTGAGTAGCTGGGATTACAGGCACGCGCCACCATGCCCAGTTAATGTTTTGTAGTTTTAGTAGAGACGGGGTTTCACCGTGTTGACCAGGATGGTCTCGATCTCTAGACCTCGTGATCCACCCGCCTCGGCCTCCCAAAGTGCTGGGATTACAGGCGTGAGCCACCGCGCCCGGCCAGATACCATTTTTAACATGTAAAAACGGACTATCTGGCACAGATTATTAACAATAGTTAATAGTTTATAATTACAGTTAGTAGAAAATCATCAATAATTAATAATATATATAACAAACATGTAATATATGATATATAATAATATAATATAAATAAATCATTAATATTAACAATAATAGTTAATAGAAACATCATTTTGCTTCAAATTGGCTTGGAACTCTTTTTAAAGAAATATATACATTTTATATATGTATTTTTATGTTTTATATATATAACTTTCTAACCTCAATCTTAAAGTTTATAAGAAGAGATTTCCAATATTAAAAAATATTATGACAGGCTGGGTGCGGTGGCTCACGCCTGTAATCCCAGCACTTTGGGAGGCCGAGACAGGTGGATCACGAGGTCAAGAGATCGAGACCATCCTGGTCAACATGGTGAAACCCCGTCTCT